TTGTCGATCAGAAGGGTCAGCAGTTCAGTGGTTCGAATCCCTAGTGCCATGTAACGAAGTGAGCTCCCATTACTTGTCCCAGCTTCTGCCAACCTAGCAGTTTGAAAGCATGTAAAAATGCAAGTAGAAAAATAGGGACCACTTTGGTGGGAAGGTAACAGCGTTCAATGCGCCTTCTGCATTTAGCCATGCTGGCCACATGACCATGGAGATTTCTTCGGAGAGCACTGGCTCTTTGGCTTTGAAACGGAGATGAGCACTGCCTCCTAGAGTCCGGAACGACTACCACATATGTGCGAGGGGAACCTTTATCTTTACTGCATTCTAACCACTGCGCCACCACCACTCTTAGTTGTGTAAAGCAAGTAGCAAACAAGGAAGACAGAAAGATAAACACTTCAGGGTTGTTGGAGAAATTCAGTGGTGCTTTTCAGAGTTGTCAGAAACCTATCTGCATTGGTGTCATTGTGATCATCATTATCTCAAGGAAGGACGGGAGAGAGGGAGTTTGAATCTTGGTTTTTAGAATTAAGATTGCATTATATGCCACTTGTTCACACTCTCCAAACTGTTTACCATCAGTGCTTTCCTTTTGATTTTGATTCTTTCAAGCCATGCAACAAATGATGTAGAATTTCAAAAACATGGGGGAAGAAGGGTTGTTCAATTAGTAAATGAACTATAAACTTTAATGGCTGCCCATGTTGCTGGTCTGAATTAATGTTCACTGGGCAAGTCTAATAATAGATTAATATTAATTCAACCAGGGCTCAAATTCTATAACTTTGGTAAAATAGCAAAGATTCTTACAGATAATGTTAAGATTTATAATTTTCAAAGCAGCACTTGAGCTTTGTAAAATCAGGGCAGATATCTCATTGAATTGGGATTAAAACTAATTTAGGTTTTGCACAAATGGAGATGTAAAGCAAATCTTTTTTATAAATCCCACTGTTGCCTGTAGGAATTTTTAGAATGACTTGGAAATAAATTCCATGATGCCCTTCTCCTATTAATATTAAATGAATGTTTATTTGTAGGTATCTACAGAGAACTCTGCTTGGAATCCGTGAAAAACAAATATGAATGTGAAATTCAGGCTTCCCGACAGCATTGTGAGGTACTGTTTTGAACTGGAAATGTTTTAATCTGTCTATAATTGATTGTTCTTAGTTCTGAGGTAATAAACTCACTACACTAAGCTATATAGTTGAAGAACAATTTGAAAATATTATATACTTACAGATTTTATTATATACTTTATCTACAAAAAAGTCAGGTTGCTTTAAAACATCTTGACAGCTTTGTCAGTCTTACTAACTGTTCTTGTGAAATTCTTGCTTAAAGTTTATTTTTT